AGGAAGTTGCTAAAATAATACACTAGGCAAGTATAGTAGCTATAGTTAACTATTTATAGGATTAGCGCGTTATCTTAGATACCTAGCAAGAACTTTATTAAGAGGGCAAGAGGCTCTTTACAAATATAGGGGTGTAGGTGCTAGGGCTAATAGACGCTAGCATAATAGAATGTGCCATAGGCAACAAAAGTATGCTAGCAACCTAGCTTACCTAGACACGTAGCGCAGGGCAGGGAACAAGCCTTATACTTATAGGAATTAAGGTTGCAAGCTTTTGTTAGCTATTAGCTATAGTAAAGCAGAGCAAAATAGCTAATATCTTAGGAGATATATAGCACTAGTAGGTAATAGCAGCACTATATAAGGAGTATAAACGTTTAGAAGGCCTCTTATAGTAGAGAGTAAAGTTAATAGGTTAGCAAGGGAGGGGCCTTGCTATAGTAGCAAGAGAGCAGTTATTTAGTAAGGTCTATTAGGACAAGAATAGCAACACTATATTAGTGCAGGACAATCTAATAAGCTATTAATCCTAGTCCTAGTACCTAGAATATAGCAAACAATAGAAAATGTTAAAGGATAGGTTTAGGGTTAGGATTTTTGCCCTTCTACTAAGAGGTGGCGTACTAAACTCTTTTATAGAAAGAAGACCCCTACAGGTCTTATAAGAATAGATTAAAATAATTACGCAATATAATAAGAGGGTTAAAGATATAGCTAAGGTAATTAAACTATTATTACTAAGCTGTCTGCGAGAAGAACAGCCACTAGGGGAGCTATTGTTAGAAATGGTAGATAGTAGAGAACTTAGAGAGTATAACTTGCTAGATTTGCTTCTACCTGCAGTAGACACGTAGAGAAACTTTAAGGTAGTATTAGATAACATAGACGTTCCTAACTCTTAGTTAGTAGCCTCCTAGCTATTAATATAACGTAGGGATACAGCAAAGCACCTATTAGCAAACTGTGCTATTCTATATAACTAATACTTAATTTTATAGTAAAGTAAGCTTAGCTAGCTAATAGCAGGAAATTACTTAGCTAGAAAGTCCCTAGTTTACCTAATATAACAGCGCAAGTAGCAAATGCCCTATAGCTAACTAGTCTATTCTAGGTTACCTTAGAGCGTAGAAATGCCTAGTAGGTTGTTAGTCCTCTTATACCTAGCATTTTAGGCGTGGTGTAGGTGGAAAATTCCTAAGGATCCCTATAATCGCTAGCTTTACCTATTATAGTTGCTAGCACTTACTATACTACTATTGTCCCCTATTAATACTATTGTAGTGTTTGCATGTCTATAATTTCGCGCCTCTTCTATAATTTCTAGCTACTTAAAGGATTAAATAGACGTTGCTAAATTACTATAAGTGTAGGAAACTATAGTGTTAATAGCTGCTACATAGCTTTCCCTAGTTTTAACAACCAAGTTTGCGTCTAGGTTTTAGTATTCCTTGCTAAGCTAGCTTTTGCTATCTAGCGTACTTTTGCTATCTAGCGTCCTTTTACTAGTTTTAGCGGCAAAGTTCGTGTAAAAGTTTTAATATTCCTCGCTAAGCTAGCTTTTGCTATCTAGTGTACTTTTGCTATCTAGCGTCCTTTTGCTAGTTTTAGTGGCAAAGTTCGTGCAAAAGTTTTAATGTTCCTTGCCAAGCTAGCTTTTGCTGTCTAGCGTCCTAACGCACAAGCCAATTTTTTCGTACTTTGACAGCAAAAGTTTGCAAACCAATATCCTTAGTTATTATAATACTAAGCGTTTATAAAGTTATTACGTAGTATTAGTGTAAAGGAAGTTAGCAAAATAATACACTAGGCAAGTATAGTAGCTATAGTTAACTATTTATAGGATTAG